TTGTAAAAGTATCAGGGGAACATGACAATCAAGGAGCTATTCACTGAAATTTTCACTGCAAGTGAAAAATTCGAAATTTTTGTAAAAGTATCAGGAGAACATGACAATCGAGGAGCTATTCAGTTTTTAACCAATATTTCGATTTATTAGCTAGTAACAAAAGAAAAAATTGGAATTATTTAAAAAAAAAAATGAATGACGGCGGGATCGAACCCTGGCCGTCGGCGTGGTAGGCGAGCACGTTACCATTAAGACAATACGCTCATTATAATAATATAATTTCATTAGGGGTATATATTTTGCAAAGGTATTTTAAAAAAAAATTTCAAATTTGTCAATTTCACTGAATATCTTCTCGATTTTCAAAAATTCAGTTTTTAAACAATCTTTCGATTGATTAGCCATTTAAAAAAGTTAAAAATGGAATTATTTATAAAAAAAAAAATGAATGATGGCGGGATCGAACCCCGGCCGTCGGCGTGGTAGGCAAGCACGTTACCATTGAGACAACGCGCTCATTATGAAAATTTGATTTTATTAGTGGTATATCTTCAACATATTGAATAATTTTTTCCATTGAAATTCCACAAGATGTGGTTTCCCCCTTCCATACGTTCTACAGTCGGCTAAATTTCAGTTAAACAAATGAAAAACAAAAAGCATTCGTACAGCAGAAAATAAAATTCACCCCGTCGATTTGATGGACACCCCAGCATTGCAATAAAAACTTGGTTAATAAAAAAAAAAACACCCCAGCATTGCGTGTTGCGCCCTCCCTCTCTTGGGGTGCAGTACTACGATGCCGCTGGGGTCACTCAAATCCCCAGAACTGAGCCTCTACTTTAGTCAATCCTCTTTGCGTCACACGCCGCCCACATGCAGACATTTTGTAAAATCGAGTATACATCCCTTTCCGTTTCCATTCTATTATTTCTTCGCCTCGCTGACCCCAAGTGCCCACAGTTCTCCTTGGAATACCTCGCGTTGCCCCCTCGTAATTCTACCTGCACAGGAGCCGTTATTGTTGATTAATACGTGCAACAGAGTAAGTACCTCGACGATATTCATCTAATTTTAACTTCATCACATCACAGAGTATTGGACGATAACTTGTTCCTGGTTCTGCTCGTTGATGTGGATGTAGATTAACGCCGAGTTTGCCCGGCGAGGGCAATCAGTGAGAAACAAGTTGAATAGTCGAGGGAAAATGCTTTGGCATTTTCTTCCTCCAGCCATCGTGCTCTTTCACTTAACCTTGCGTTATCGTTCAATTTGTAACATTAATACATTACTCATCATCAAATTTTACCATTTACTGTAATTATTTTACTATCGCCTTGAAAAAAGTACACAATTCACAAGTACCCAAAAGAACAACTCAGCTCCACTGAACGAAGTAAAAATTCACAATTATTTAATTTTCTATCGCCGAAACAAACATAATTATTATATGAAACATTTATATTAACAATAGTGAATTGTGGATAAAAAATTAAATTGACAATAAAGTAGTGAAAATTTCAAAGAATGAAGAATAGGTTATTATTTTTAGTGAATTTTTTTAATTTCAGAAGGTTATTGTATGAGTCAAAAAATAGAAAAGCCAGTACTATCAGGTCAACGTATAAAGACCAGAAAGAGAGATGAAAAAGAAAAATATGATCCTACTGGGTTCAGAGACGCAATCCTCCTGGGTTTGGAGAAGGCTGGTAACGACCTAGAGGCAGTCTCCAAGTACCTCGACACAGCGGGTTCAAAGCTGGATTATCGTCGGTATGGCGAGGCGCTATTCGATATTCTCATTGCCGGGGGTCTTCTCGTACCAGGTGGCTCCATTGCTTCAGACGGTGATAAACTCGTCAAGACTAAAGCATGCGTTTTTGAGCAGCCAGAGGACATGGAGTCGTTGAAGAATTACGAGCAAGTTTTCATAAAGTTGATGCGTCGTTATAAATATCTGGAGAAGATGTTTGAGGAGGAAATGAAGAAAGTACTAGTATTTATAAAGGGTTTCAGCCCCCAGGAGAGGAAAAAACTCGCTAGGATGACAGCCCTGTGGATATCCAATGGTTCTGTACCTCCCACTGTTCTCTCTGTACTCATCAATGAGCATCTTGTTAAGGATAATCTTGCCCTTGATTTTCTTCTCGAGGTATTTGTAACATGGAAGAATGAGAAGGGACTGCCCAGTCTCATGACTGCTTTGAAACGAGGGGGCATTGAGGGCAAGATGATGGAGTTTGTTCCCCCTAATAAGAGGACTGAGGAGTACTTTAGATCGACCTTTGAGACGGTGGGACTCGCTGATATCGTCAAGCTTCACAAAGCCCAGGCCAGTCAAGAAGCCAAACGCGATCTCCAGCAACTACTCATTGATGATCTCGCTGAAAATCGTCCTATCAAGGATATCGTACTCGATCTCAAGGAGATGGCTGTCAAGAGCTGTATTCCAGAGCACGAGGTCATCGGTCTTGTATGGGGGGTCGTTATGAGCCAGGCCGAATGGAATAAGAAGGAAGAACTCGTTGCTGAACAGGCACTCAAACATTTGAAAATTTATACACCACTTTTCGGCGCATTTACTACCACTGCCAAATCCGAGCTCGCCCTTATCCTCAAGGTTCAAGAGTTCTGCTATGAGAATATGAATTTCATGAAAGTCTTCCAAAAAATTGTCCTGCTCTTCTACAAAAGTAAGTTCATTATTATTTTATTTGTCTTCTAGGGTAGCCTGGGGTTGCAGATATTTTTCTTTACATTAAAAATTTTTATACCAAAATTTCACTGTTTTACAATCAATAGTAAAAATTTCCTGGATATCTCTAAAATTCATTAAACTTTTTGTTTCTCGCAGAATTGTCATGTGTTTTGATTTTTCCAGAGGACGTCATCTCGGAGGCGGTAATAATGAAGTGGTACAAGGAGGGCCACTCGCTCAAAGGCAAAATGCTGTTTTTGGACCAAATGAAAAAATTCATCGAGTGGCTGCAAAATGCCGAAGAGGAGTCTGAATCGGGCGAAGACGAAGACTAAAGTAGGTCCCTCTGCCCCCCCTCCCACCCCCCATTTCTATTACTTAACAATAATTAAAAAGAGACAATTAACTGTTTCAAAGAAGTGCAAGCAAGGGAGAAAATATCTACAGAATCAAATAACAAGAAACTGCGGTCTTCATTTTTCAATTTTTTTTTCAACATTCTCCTCTCTCTAGGTACATCAAGAGTGCATATTTCGATGAGAAGCGTAAAAAAAATGTGACAAAGAACATTGAGCTAAACCTGTCCAAATCAGTTTCGGTGAGCAATGGCATAAGGAAAATCGACACAAATCATTGACAAGTATGCATGGGTGATGGGTGAACTAATTACAGAGTAAAAAAAATGAATATGAAAAATAAATGAGTAAATAGAAAATAATGCCAATTGTACAATTGCACGATTCCCTAGCAGAATACACTGTGAACAATAAAAACAAATGGAGATAACAACTGAAATTGTATACATACATGGGTAATAAATTAAATCAATTTACAAAATCGAGGACTAAATTGATTACGAGCGAACAGGTGTGAGACCATCATCTTCCCGCGTCAATATTTATTGTAAATTTCTCACTGGAATTGTATCGCTTCGATGATAATGATGATTATAATGAGAAAACTATTTTGTGCTATACTTTTATAAACTCGGCTACAAAATATATACAGAAAATTTTTAATGCGCTCACTCAATGTGTTATTCTGAGTAATTATTTTTATTGGATGATCATTGACACTTTTCTTAATTATGTTGATTTATGTTGAAAGCTATCAATTGAGGCTGGAAATAGCAGAGGACTTTTTTGTAGCTCATTACATTCCCGAGAGGAAAGGTCTTTTCATATTTCCTCCTGAAATCAATAGTTTTCAAAGATGAAAATAGGTAAGAGCATTGGAATATTCCATTTATCTCATTTCACCACTTCACTATTCAATTCATCGTCTATTTGGCTTTGTATTTGTAGTCTCTCATATCGGCAATTTTTTGCTTCCCTATGATAGTTTTTCCATTCATGAAGGGCACGAGTTTATCGGGAACTTGAATTTCCCCGTCTTTCGTTTGGAAATTCTCGCAGATGGCTATCAGAGTGCGAGGGATGGCACACGCTGTTCCATTCAACGTGTGGACGTACCTCGATTCCCCTTTGCTGGTTTGATATTTTATATTGAGTCTTCGGGATTGGTAATCCGTGCAATTGCTGCAGCTCGATAGTTCACCGAAGGCTTTGCGACCTGGTAACCAGCCCTCAATGTCAAATTTCCGATAAGCCGGAGCTCCCAACTCGTGGGAGGGCATGTCAATAATTTTGAAGGGCAACCCCAATTCTGTGAACAATTGCTCCTGAATTTTAGTCAACTCCATGAAATTTTCGTCTGAATCATTTTCACTTGTGCATGCGAACATTTCTACTTTCGTAAATTGATGAACCCTATAAATTCCCTGTTCCTCAGCAGAATTTGATATTTCCGCCCTGAAACAGCGGCTGACAGCTGCCAGCCTGAGTGGCAGTTTTTCGAGCTGCCAATTTGAATTAATGAGTTTCGTCGCCAAAGCCATCTCCGCAGTCCCCGAAAGACTGAGATCATCCCCGTAAAAATTGCCAAGAGAATAAACAAGAGTCCTCTCGCCATCCACGACCATTCCACATTTTTCAATGACCTGAGTGGGCAGGATATCTGGTACAGAAATTAGTTTGAAGCCGTAACCCATGAGTCTGCGAATGGTGAATTGGATGAGTGCCTCCTCCATCTGGGCAAGATCACCCAGGAGCATGTAGCTTTTATCCCCAGCTATCGGGCCCAAATCCTCCATTCGCACAACTTTCAAGGATCTGGCCAGTTCCATGAAGGGTCTTGGCCAGTTCCCTTTGAAATCCTCCAATTTCACAGGCGCAAAATCTTTTACAACTTTTCCCTCGGTTCCGTACTCCAGCACCTCGGGGAATGTGATGTTTGGGATTTTGTTTAGCTCTCTTGCCAGTTCAATTTTCGCTGCTGAATCTACTCCTGCATTTTTCGAGAGATGAAAAATTTTATTGACATCACCGATTCCCTTCCTATGCTTTATGTTCAGGGCAATTGTCTCGCTATTTCTAGGATCGCACAGAAAATCAGTGTTGTAGGTGGACTCTGGTAAGTTGAGTTTTGAAGATATCACACGCGGCTCCTTTCTGGTGCGCTGCTCCAACCAAATTTATTCCTCATAATTTATTTATTTATTCATTTATTTTCTAGTGGGGACAGTATATAAAAATATATTTTTATAAATTATATCTCACCACGAAATTCATTAAATTCCTCTTCAGCGCCATGTTATCATTCTAATTATATTCTCCACGTGTTGCTGTGTATGGAGTGAAAATTTAGTACTAGCCTAACCTGCAATAATCACTCTGATTATAATTACAACAGATCCAACCAATAATACATTTTTTAACAGATGTGTTAATTAACAAAATAAAAAAAACTATTTCAGCAATTTATAACTGAATACAGTACACTATTTCCGATATTGTCTCGAAAAAAAATAAAAAATAAAAAAAAATATCTTGTCATATACAATTGACAAAAATTGATTTTAACCATGAATGCCAAAAACCTTCAACCCGAAGCCTTCAACGCTGGCAGATACATGCCAACCTACCAAAGTCTCAAATTCAATTCACCCCAAGAAAATGAAAATAGCGATAGCTCAAGGGTGTCCCTGACTTTCAAATATCTCATCAGTCGTTTTTTGTGAGTACAATTATCATTTTTTTTCCTTCCTCTAGAAACTTCAGTCCCTGAATTCTTTATTTTCCCCCAGATCAAGTGAAGTCACCACGACACTCTTCAGAAAAGGTTTCGACGAGTACACAGTGCAAATGGAGAAAGAGCACTTGAAAAATTCAGTGCCCACAAAATTGCCGATCAAGTCAGGCCTAAAACCCGGAGAAAACCTATTAAATTTCTCAGAGCCCCTGCCATGCACCAAAGACGAGAAAAAACACTGTAGAGACCTATCTTTTTATTTATCGAACAGGGACATCAAGCCATTGCTTCCAGCTTCAGATATTTCCAAAGAAAATTGGTCAAGAAATCAAAAAGTCCATCTCCTGAGAAAAGAACAGTCCCCCAAGTCCTTGAGTTGTAAAAACCTCAATAAATGGACAAATCCTGTCACTTCTCCGGTGAGCAGAGATCCCGACGCCACCACTGATTCCGACACCGAAGAAATCATCAGGAGCAACAGCTCCGGAGCCTTCAGAACAGCAAATGTCATCCATCAGAACAATGAGAAGAATGCGAATAAATTGAAAAGAAAAAACTCTGTGAACAACCAGTTCGTATGCCCAGTAAAACGAGATAATAGACGCCAGGAATCTGAACAAATCATACCAAAAACAGAAGTCTCCCCTGATGCGCTAATTGAGGACGAGAGGCTGAAGAACATCGACCAGAAGATGATTGAGCTGATAAGAAACGAGATAATGGACGGTGGAGCTACAGTGGAATGGGATGACGTGGCTGGCCTAGAGGGAGTTAAAAAGATCATCAAGGAGATTGTGGTGTTCCCGATCCTCCGACCAGACATCTTTACAGGTCTTCGTCGTCCCCCCAAGGGAATTCTATTGTTTGGCCCTCCTGGTACTGGAAAAACTCTAATCGGAAAATGCGTTGCCAGCCAGAGTAAATCCACATTCTTCTCCATATCCGCCAGTTCCTTGACCTCCAAATGGGTGGGAGAGGGTGAGAAAATGGTGAGAGCTCTGTTTGCAGTGGCAAGGGTTCACCAGCCATCGGTCGTCTTCATCGATGAAATCGATTCACTCCTGACTCAACGCTCAGAGACCGAACACGAGAGCTCCAGAAGGATAAAAACAGAATTTCTGGTGCAGCTCGATGGTGCCACAACTGGAGATGACGACAGGGTCCTCGTCATTGGGGCAACTAATCGACCCCAGGAGCTTGACGAAGCCGCCAGACGAAGGTTTGTTAAGAGACTCTATATTCCACTACCTGAGAGCAATGCTAGGAAGCAGATCGTCAAGAACCTCCTTAGGAATGAGCGCCATAATTTAGAGGATAATGATGTTGACAGCATCGCGCGACTAACGCAGCACTACTCCGGAGCTGATATGGCTAATCTCTGTAAGGAGGCCAGCATGGGACCGATCAGGAGTATTCCCTTTGAGCAGCTCGAGAATATTCATAAGGACAGCGTCAGGTGTGTGACTCTTGAGGACTTTCAAAAGGCCATCGGACTTGTCAGACCTAGTGTCTCACAGACAGATTTGGATCTCTATATTAGGTGGGACTCCACATTCGGCAGTGGAACTGCATGCAACACCCCAGGAGAATTAGATTTGTAACAGTGATCGAGTAATTTTTTTTATTGAATTAAATCACCAATTTAGAATAATCAGGGATCAATAAATCATATGGAAAAAAATATTTAAAAAATGACTAATGCTGACACACCTCTGCTCACAACAATTTTTATTGTTAGCCGCCGTCAATAAATTTAATACATACGTAAATTTTCGAAAGCAGTGGACAATTATCTCAAAATTATACACTTCCACCATTGAATTTTTATCACAGAAAGTACACATAATGGGAAATAGGTGAGTACCTGAACATTATCGAGTTGTACTTTTTGAATTTCATTTTTCCAATAGACAGGCACAAATCCTCTTACCGTTCGAACTTATTAATAGCCTCGAATACGCTAAAATGATGGATTGCTTTGAATTTTACTATAGTATACGTTCAGGTCACAAGGCTTAAGACATTTTTCAAAATACACTGGAACACTTAAATTATTGTTACATGTAGTGCACAGTGATTTTGGATTTTTCCATGTGCTGCTATGACGATTCAAAAACATTGAAGTCGAGTCGATGATTATAGGTAGATTGTACGAAGTTCATTGGAATTCAGTATGATTGATATTGTAGAGGTAATTCTCAAAATACCAGAAACATTTATGCACGACTTACGCTATAAATATAAGAATTTCATTTATACTCTTTGGCACGATCAGAAAGAGAATCACAGATGGAATAATTGTATGTATGTACAGGTTATTCGTGAGGGATTAAAACTCTGCGATATTGCTTCGAGTTTTTCGAATTATAAGGAAGCCTCGATACCTTTGGCACAAAATTTTGACACCTCATCCTCCGCTCACCTTATCTCAATGTTATTTATGAATTCATTAATATCTCCACTATTTTATCAATAAATCTAAAGTGATATTCCTCCACAGAAAGTGTTAGGTCCAAGTGTTACGATGCGTGTAATTAAGAATGTTTATCCAAAACTTTTTATTTTTGAAAACTGAATTAAGTAGAATTTAACATTCTATCAATTATTAATTTACCTGAAAACCATTAATTAATGAGGGAAACAGTAGAGAAATTTTTTTTTTGTGGCGTACACCGAAAATCAATAATTCTTTTAAAAAAAGTTGATGTTTAGGATATATATATATATATATATATATATTTTTTTTTTTTTTCAATTTTAGAAAATTTCTTTACGTGTTTCTTCATCAGCTGAAAATATATGGAATAATTTGTTATACAAACATGTCATGAAAAGGGGGATAAACATCCTTAATAATCGGCAATAAACGTGTAATTCAACTCATGATGTGCCAATTGGGCAGTACCTCAGCAATCATAGTCGAAAAATACGATGAGACATTGTAAACAACGGTTTCACCAGCAGCCATGATCGCTGCAAAAGTTCCATAAGTGCCATAATCAATAATACTGTGATTGCAAGCAGCGAGCACTGCCAAATCCCTGCCCACTCCCCGTGCCTCAATATCAGAAATGAAAGTGATTTTGTGACTACTGCTACGTAAATTATATTTACACCACCTGATTGAGTCACTCGCCACGATAAATAAGACATTCTTGTATTTTTTACTGAAGTATCCCATCGCTGACAGGTAATATTCAACTGGCGCAGCTCGAACTTGAAATTTTTGCCAAAGATAATCGACGTAGTCTGTTCTTCGCACGTGAATGCCTACAAATGTTGGCGAGCTTTTATTAAAGGTGCTTGCAATATTGGCTAAACGAATCTCTGCATATTTTTTCAGGGATGGCTTGAGGGTAAATTCCCTTCGGATATCGTCAAGCCATCCCAGAATCAGACTCCAGTATGCTGCATGCCTGGAATTTAATTAATCGTTAGACCGTTAACAAATTATTCAATTTGTTGATTTAATAATAATAATAATTATTATTATTATTATTATTAGTAACGCTCCATTACCTCGGAATGATAATATTTTGGTCAGTGCTATTCCACTGCCCCGGGGAATTGACGACCTGTCCAATATCCAGAGTGCACCTTCCGATGTAACTCAATGGTGGAATGCTCAAATTATCAAAGTACTGCTGTAAAGTCTTGAGAATGCACCTGGGCATGAAGGGTTCGAGGCCAGTTCTCCTGGCGGTTGCCCAGACAGATGCGTACTCCCAAATTTGATTACCCAAACGTCCACCCTGAACAGCAGAGACGATTCCATACATGGGGCAGGGATTCTTCCACTCAACAGGCATCTTCACGTGCTTAGGATTAGCCCTGCACAATGCCTGTTCATAAACCGAGACTTTGGTGTGCCTCATTGGTGGATTGGAGGTGTACATAGGGAACAAGAAGACATGAATACCACAGACGACGACGAGTGCCAGAATAATTGCACTGGCAAGTATGTGCTGTTGCATATGAGTCATTGTCTCTTCTGGTGGCTCTCTCTCTCTCTCAAGTTACATTCATTCTCCACTCGTCTCACAACCCAATCACTTGACATCTACATTTCAATCTTTACTTATCCTCAACTACTGGCTACAGCCTCTAGTTTTGATTATCTTAGCTTTGGTATATTAAATTTTCCTTTGTTTCCTCTGGAAGGTTCTTGACCTCATGTAGACTGACATACCAGACTACGTGTCCTTTGCCTTTCGACAATTTGTGCATTCCTCAGTATGACTGTTTCTTTGAAATATCGCTTGCAAACAGTCATTACCGAACACATGTGCATGCTCAGACATGACTCTTGTCAGTTAATTATTCGTCCAAGAGCAAAGGAGGCAGCCTGTCGTCAAGCTTCACTAAATGCAAGTCGTGTAAATGCAGGTGCAACAGCTGATCAATAACTAGCTCTAATGGTTAATCATGAATGATTTTAACGCTCTGTTAAGCAGTTTAGGAGTGCGACTTACGTTGGCGTGTTTCCTCAATTAGAAAATTGGGTACCTAGAGGTGATCCAGTATGAGTGGTATGTGCCGTGAGTTCTGGTGGATTCATTGTATAAATTCTGTACCAGTAGATTTTACGTACGTCAACAAAACTATCAGAGAACATTTGAAGAATTGACAATTGTCAACAATGCAGACTATTGTTATTTTGATAATTACTTTGGTAATTGTTGTGATCAATTTACAATCATTTACCAGAGATTGTAGGGAAGATCAGCAGTGCTTATGGCAAATGTTAAACAGCGATTTTCGTAGCGGCGGCTACGGAACTAAATCAGAAGCCTTTTTTTTATTATTTTTTTAGCGTGTTTTTTTTTTTTATTCTGTCCCACATCTATGAAAACCAGTCTTGAAGAATTTAATGTGTTATATATATGTAATCTGTATAACTTTAGCCATGTAGGGCACTCGCGCAATTACAGTGTTTTTATATTACGAGATCGACATCGCGCTCCGCCCCCCGCCCCCATCTGATTCCGTTCTGTTGATGATGACATAGCCCTTTGAGAACCAATGAGAAATGAGTTTTATTCGGTATGGCCAATGAGAGAAATCTTACTCTCGACAGCCTACCTATAAAAGGTAGGACTTACAGTGATTCCTACATTTATACGGAACCCAATCAAAACATTCCACTATCTTCTTCGCATTCTTCAATAACATGTGTGTGTTGCTATGCGAATCATTGCAGATGGCGTTGTTCTGTTGTCGTTGTATTTTCTAATTGGAATCAAATTTTCGCTATGAACGTGGTGTTTCTAGAAGAGTACAATAATAAAATTCAGAAGAAACAATGTAATAGTGGTTGACCTGCGAGTCCTGAACTAGGGATAAATGAATTCTGAGGTGCATACAGTCAGCAGTCGAGCTTACTATCGTAATAAAATACATGAAACCTATGTATAATTATCTACTCTTATGTTCTTAAAAAATTTTAGAGAGTGCGTGTAGAACAATGAAGAACCTTGTGGAATCCTCTGGCGAGAAGGACGAGGAGTACTCATCCGATCAATTAGTTAAATCCGTGAAATCAACAGCTGTGGTAAAATACACGGCAGTTCAAACCCCAGCAATTTTCGCACAGCTGCAGTGCAATACAGATTTGAATCATCCCCCTAGCAATTGGCTAAGCAGTTCAGCAGAGAGTTATGGATTGCAGAGTGTGTGGTCCCACAACTCTGGGTTCTCATCGTTCAGGATGGCCCATATGTTTCCTGATTGTGTGGGTGAAGTAGATGTTGTGTCAGATGCTGAAAATATCAAGAAATTACTGAAAATGCCATATTCCCACAGTGTGATCTCAATGATGGTCCACAGAATCGAGAATACACTTTTGCTCGACGACTTTGATATCCACAAATATCTGCTGCGTCAGGCAGAAACCGATTGGGAGTGGCTGAAAAAATTTTTCTACGAGAACATCTTCGAGGACACGAGCGATGAAAAGAAGAGTAAATTATTCCAGAAGACGACGCATAATAGTCGTAACACACTCCAGCAGAAGAATCTAGTATCAAAGTTCCTATATCATTCATTGGTGCTTGGAGGCAACGAGCTTAGCACCACAAATGACAATGCCAGCCCCCAAAATGAAAATAAAGATGAAATAAATGTTACTGGAGCCTCACCACTGCCCCTTCAGAGCCTGGAGCCAATGCTTCCAGAGCCCACTCGAGAGGACAAACTGCCAGATCCAAATCACACCCACAATTTCACGAGGAATGTCGTCTGGACGTTCGAAAATCTGCAAATGCTGATAGGCACTGACATGCCCATCTTCGGTGGCCAAACCCATCCCTGCATCAGCTTGAGACTCAGAGATATGAACAAACCCATAAATGTCCTCACTGGTATCGACTACTGGCTCGACAACCTCATGTCTAACGTCCCCGAAGTGGTCATGTGTTATCACCTGGACGGAATCGTTCAAAAATACGAGCTCATCAAAACCGAGGATCTTCCCAACCTTGACGACGCAGAATTCAGTCCAAGAGTCATCCGTGACATTGCCCAGAACATCCTCAGCTTTTTGAAAAATAACGCAACCAAAGCTGGCCATACGTATTGGTTATTCAAAGGAAAAGACGACGATGTAGTTAAGCTGTACGACCTGACGTCTCTCTGCACAGAGATTCCCAATGAGCCAGACCGAGAGAAGGGCCAAAACCCCTTCACTGTCCCTGTCGCTATGCTTCTGTACCGAGTCGCCAGGAACATGAAGTACTCGATGGATCGACCGACGAGGGGCCACAGAGGTACTATCAGAATGCTCCTGAAGAATTGCATTCAACTGTTGAATCGAGAGAAATATCCCCAGATTGTCACCTCAGCCCACTATATGCTGTCCGATCTGTACATTCCTGCTGATACAGATCCAGCTAAACCAATTTTCGTAGAGGACGAGTACCAGGATGATCCTGCCTCTGATTATGCCAGCAATAGCAGTACTCAGGACGTCAACGATTCAAGTCCTCCTCCTAACTCTAGTGAAGATGGAAATGAGGAGCACGAGGAGAACGACGACGGGGCGAGTGCCACTGCCAGTGTGAAATTGCTCACCCTTGCTCATGTTAAAGATCAACCTGATCAGGAGGAATCCAAGTACAAACCCCCTCCGATCAGTGGAACTGTGGTGGAGCGTTGTAAAATAGCTTTGAATCACGTCTATAATGGATTGCAGTGTCTAGTATTTTTTCCCACTGCTCCTGTAGACACCAGCAATATCTATGATGAAAAATCTGAGGATCAGCAGCACTCCAGCCTAGACTCCAGCTTCACACAGTCTCAAGAGGAACATCAGAACATGGCGAAGCCCTTCGAGGCGATACCCATGCCATACTACACCCTTGATCCAAATCCTCAGGTTCCGGAGAGTAGAGTGCATGGTGAGGTTTCCAGTCCGAGCACTCGAAAGAAGAACCAGAAAAAGAAATCTCGAAAGGGTGATAATTCAAATAATAAACAACTGGTTGTTGATGATAAATCAACGAGAAAAGCTCTACTACTGTGTCAAAAATCCAAGGTCGAGACTCTCCCCACATGGGAGGCACCGAAGAAGACTGACAATCGCTCCTGGAAGGCCCACCTCAAGGCTTTACTCTACGAGAAAGCTGCGTTGATATTCGCTGTTCTTGCGGAATTCGAGTACTCCAGCCCCCAGTGTAATTACGGCGCCTCCCTCAGGTACATTCGAAATGTCCTGAAGTGTCAGAGGATCCTGGAAATATTCTGTGATATAAAAAATGACAAATCCATCAGTTATCTATTGGGAAGGGCAGGAGATTGCTGCCTCATGGCTGTCCAGGACTGGAGGAATATCGAAAAACACAGGGACGAATTTGAAATAAAAGACGAGACGGAGGGGAACGTTGTTGGAGAGATTGCGAGCATGAAGGATATTGATATTGGTGCAGAGTGTTGCTCTGGAGCCCTGGGGAGCATCGAGGATTGTCTCCTGGCGTCCTACAAGTGTTACGAGAAAGCCCTCTCTCTAGTGCTCCAAGATGTCGAGAGGACGAACCTCCTGAGACGAGTCGGGAACATTCACAATGAATTGGGGGTTTTGTACATGAACCAGGCCAGTGCCAAGTGTCAGCAGTCTGAGGAGACCGGTGGGGAGGGTAAAAGTTCGAAGGGCTCAGTGGACATCAGCTGGCTGTTGACAGAATCATTGAGTCATCTCGAAGCTGGTATCAAGGCTTTTGAGAGTGTTTGCGACGAGGCCAATCTGGCACTTCTCCACTCCAACAAGGGTAGACTAATGAGACTCTGTGCCCACATCAACGTAGATAAACGAATTCAGGAGAGAAACTTCTACAACAAAGCTCTTGTCAGCTACCAAAGGGCTCTGCAAGTGCTTGGTGTGAGGAAAACTAATCCTGCCATATGGGACACTGTCAACTGGGATTTATCTACAACTCTCTTCACCATGGCAACTCTCCTCCAGGATTACCCCACCATCGAAGCTAATAGTGAGGAGGAATTAGAGAGGGAAGTCGTTGAAATCCTCCACAAGGCCCTAAAACACTGTGATACTGATACTCCAGGAGCGAAGCAACCTGTTTATCAATTTCGTGTAGCTACAATTCATCATCGAGTGGGTTCCCTGTACCACAGGATCTATAGACGACTCGAGGCTGATTCTGATTCCCTGAAACGCAAAACAACTCTGCAGTTGACTAAAATTCATTATGAAAAGGCAGGAAAATTGTTTCTGTTGTTGGAGCAGCCAGTGGAGTTTCTGACTGTCCAGTTGGAAAGAGTGGCACTTGCTGAGTATCAGGCACAGATCGCTACTCTCTTCCAGAATAAATTGAAGGCTCATCAGTATGCCCTCGACTGTATTCTCCAGTGCAGGGAGATGCTGGAGAAGAAGAAGGAGATTGCGGTAACACACAGTGAGAAAGGGACAGCTAGTTGTGATAATAATGTAGAGGAGTTGGATCAGAGTCAAGAGGAGGAGAACCTCATGTCATTGCTCGAACAAAGGCTGCAGTACTGCCTGAAATCCTTGACCAAATTGTGCCTCGGGAGGAATACCAAGCAGCATCAACTCCTGGCTGATGTATATAAACGATGTTATAGCCAGAGCTTGGAAAAACTGGGGGACAAGCCAACTGCTCATTGCACTGTCCGTCTTCTCCAGCACCTCAGTGAGATACTCTCTCAAATACACGATCCTCTTCTATGGTGATTATATTAATAGAGGTGGCAATTATGATTATTGAGTTAATGAGAACTTTCGAAAGGTTTCAGTCGTCTCCTATTTCACTACTGTTGATGAATAAAGTAAACTCTTTTATATTGGAATTCTTATATTTTACTCTAATTAATTGATTGATACAGTGATTCTTCCCTTGGATTTTCTCAATGTTGAGACAACTACTCGGTAGTGTTACAGTTTTTTCAAAATTAAATATCAGTTGGTCTCAAAAATTATTCAATCCCATAGAACTACAGAAACAAATTTCGTTATGGCTCAAATTGACATGTTGCACTTTATCTTTTAGCTAGTTATCGATTACATTGTCAACTGTCGATTTGAAACAAAAACAAAAAAAAAAAACTTTCTTGCAACTGATTACATTTCCGGCAAAAAAAAATATTTTATTGTTTTCTCCTTAAACCGAAAGTTTTCGCATTTTGCTACTGAATTACGAGTAGTTGGTATTATTATCTGGCAAGAGTAAATCAATTGGCATAAAAATGATCGATCTGCTTATGACTATCGGTACAAGGGGCAGCGCTTCCACACCATTTAGTTTCCTTTAGGGAGTGACAGGGTTTTCCCCCTCGTCGCGCTTTGACGATGATTTTTCGGAGCCTCTGGGTCTCACCCACTCCGCAACTCCGACTACAGGCACTCCAAGCACTCCAATCACTGATTTTGCAGTCTCTAGGTGACCGTTGTTTCTTCATTTTTCTTTCAGTGTGAAAACGTCGATTTTTTATTTGTAATCGATGGTTATCCCGGCGGTTTGAGTAGAACAATCCACTTGGCCATCCTAATTTACTGGAATTTCGATCAACCGAGCCCACAAATCCACCCTGAGGTCTTCTACTCTCTCTTGGAGTTCCATTTGCTCCTCTTGATTGACCCTCAAGACCATTCTCCTTGATTCTCTTATCATGGAGAAAATTGTAAGAGGCCACTATCCCATCAATTATCGCTGTCTTGGCATTTTCATCATTATTCCCTATTGCGTTCTGAGTGCTATTTGTCCAGTATCTGCGAAAAAATTTGGAAGTTGAGATGTTTTAGCGACGAACTAACAATCCAATTCAGAAAAGAGTGACTCTCCCTCTCAGGCATGTTCGTGGAAACAATTGACCTCAATAGCATCTTTTAACACCCACTCCTTATTACCCCATTTCTCCATTTTCATTTTTTCATTTTTTTTTTCTTAGAGACATGAGCTAATGAAGAACTAAATAAAAGAGAAAGTAGGTGGCAATGGGCCAAAAAAAAAAAAAAAAAACGAAATTTACTTATATTTTTTTCGAATAGAAAATATTATCATGATTTCATTATTTCTTCCTGGGTTGTGAGGCAAAATAATAATAGTCGGCACTGGGGATTTGTCCCCGCGTTACTCTAGTAATTACCCGTATCTCTGATCTGCTGCATCTGCTCCAGAAGAGGGTGATCTATACCCCTTGGAAGCCTTGGGTTCGTTCACAGGGAAATAACGCGATGAATCTCCATCAATGCTGACGAACTCCATTTCAACATCTTCCTCGAGGTAGACCTTGGCCAATGTGTACTCCTTCAACTGGGAAGATAACGATCGCCGAGAAAAAAGTTAGGTGAAAACGTGGATCTGGATGTGGATCAAGTATTTTTCGTACCTTGGTGAATGTAAGGGTAGCAATGGGTGGCAATCGCGGTAGATTAGGATAATTAAAGCTAGCTGCTGGATGGCCGGGATATCTGGAAGTTATTCTATAAGCGAGGCTCTGCGGCCAAGTTCTTTGCATCAAAGATGTGAATGTCAGACCTTCATTCGTTCCAGCATCCAGTGGGTCAAGCTAAAATTCATTATCAACTCGAGAAATCAATGAAATAACTAAATTTCTTCCAGATTACTCAATGATTATTAAATTATTTGAGATTAATCAATGGATTAATCAATGGATTATGAATATGTTGTGCACAAACCTCGACGGTGACGGAATCAATCCAATCTCCATCGATGCACAACTGAAAGGAATCGACTCCAACGAACCAATCAGGACTTGGGATTATTCGAGCCACTGCACTTACAACTGTATGATTGCTATCCAGGAATGCCCTCGTTGTACTAGTACCCTCACCCCGAGTTATTGCCGATCCTGTGAATGAATCCAGTACACTAGGACTGTTTCCTTCACTGGCTAGCCCCCGAGTTTCTCCCGTCTCAATGTACTGAGTTATTCCGGCGTTCAATCGAGTCCCCAAACGGTACAACGAGTACGTTCTATCGTGCGTTCGACCTCCAACAATCATTAATCCAATTAAATTAAATCAGAGAGACAGTAATATTTCTTTTGTATTTTCTAGTTTCTCTGATTTATTTAGTGGGTATTTAGATTTATGGGAAATTCAAAGTGAATTTCTCAAAAGTGAAGACTTACCGATGAGCTTTCCAAATTGCGGGACCCTCTGGTCTGGATAATGCTTGGGAAATCTGATACGCGTCCAATACGTATTGAGGGTAATTCTGTAGAGGACTAATTTGTCGTCTCGTTTGATAGCGAACCCGCCGCATTGCGAGGCAACTTGTGACAAATGTATGATCGGCGATATGATCAGGGTGAAAAAAAACCACGTGTTCCTGGACATCTGGATATGCTTGTGATAACAGTCAACACAACTTTGTCTATTTCAATGGGATAAATTTATGATCTAATTTAAGACGCCTGCAGTTATTGCATTCACAATTGTTTATGGGCACTCGGAGACACCGTTGAAAATTCGCTTAACATTTTAGCCCTGGGTTAGCCTGAGTGACTCTCGTATGTTCGCCATGAGATTGAGATCCGTTTAAGTATATCTCTCAACGTTGCTATGTCGCTCTCATTTCTATTCTGGTTTCGACGAAAACATTATGCGTCAGTTTAGCCCCTCGAGTTGGAGCCGCGAGTCCAATGACTTTTCAGTCTTTCTCCTACCGCTGGTTTATATTTAACTCATTTATCATTTTTCGGACTTCTGTCATGTGAATGGCTTTACACATCCGCTGCTATTGGAAAACTCCACTCTTTTATTATTTTCCACTGAAAAGTTCACTTTCCCTATGAACAAGAATATAAGAAGAAAAATATGAAAAATAAGGGGATAAATCGGAGGAATCGATCAAGCTTTTTTCACATTTTAGGGAGTAATTGGAGACCACTGGAGTGAGTTTTGAAAGATTGTTTGAGTAATTCTTTCTTCATTAATAGGAAGTATTTTTGTTGCTGCCGGGAAGATATATACTCCGTCAAATGTTTCAATTGACTGCGGGAAGAAAATGCGAAATTCGGTGCACAAGATACCGATCATGCGCTGTTGCACCTCTTAAACGGTTGGTCGATATTATATCCAGTGAAAAACCGATCTTCTGATCGAAAATTATTATATTTCTCAATAATTCGAGGAATAATAAGGGATCAGTACAGAAAATCATCAGTTACTGCATAATTTCTTTTAACTTCCAAAGAAATTAAAAACGTCTGGACAAAACTAGTTGAACGATTTCTTTTGAAATTCTGTCGGGCGAAAAGTGAGATTCGAAATTGTATGTGTGTGGCTCCACCGTACAGACACCCTTCAAATTTTGTGACACGTGGCGCGACGCAACGCACCAACTCCTCGCCGATGAGCGAGGAGTAATTGTAGTTGTTTCTCCTCTATTCTCTCGGCAACCCAAGTCGTGTAAACAACGTGCCGAACGACATTCTTCCAATAAGTTCTCATCCTCATTCCTCAGCACCATCAACCAGGTGAGTCCAGGTCAACTGAAAATGATAACGAGTAATTGTAATTTCATGTACGACTTTAACCACTATTTTTTACATCGCTAGAATCGAGAAGAAACCATGAAATATCCTGGAATTTGCTGCATCTTGCTCTTGTCGGCGTACAGTGTTTTTGGAGAAACCTGTCAGAAGCCTGAAATCACAGCCTCGGCGTATGTAACCGAAGATGCAACTATTCTCACTAATGTTGCATTTACCACTCAGTTTACCCTGAAATGTAGCAATGGAGTTAAGGATATTTCGCTGTACGCAGAATGCGAGGGTAAATCTCTGCCAGCTGTACGACTCAGCACCGATAACAAATATCAGGTATTGTAATTAATTTTAAAATGTTATTTAGTTATTATTAGAATGAGTTCCAGTTTGATAACTTGTTTAATAATAATGCACTACAACTTGTCATTAATTCAAAATATTCGGATTAACATGAATGTTCATGTTAAAAACCATAAATAAACTCGCAATTCAATTAGGTATCATGGACGGACGACGTGAAGAAAGTGCGTTCTGGTGACTACAGCGTTAAATTATATGACGAGGAGAGTTATGCAGCCCTTCGCAAGGCCCTGCGCAACGGGGAAGATCCGGAATCTGTCAAGCCCCTAGCAGTTGTTACCCTGAATAATCCAGGGGTTTACCAAGGGCCTTGGATAAACTCAGAGCTCCTCGCAGTGGTCCTCGCTGTGGTCGTTTCTTATGCTGCCTTCTCTGCGAAATCCAAGCTCTCTGCTTAACGCCATCGAGTGTGCACGTGTGAATGATATTTTTATTTATATTGAAAATAAAAATGACAAAATCTTGATTAAGAGTTCAAATGTTTTATTATTTATAATCATATAGACAGGGAGAGGGTGGAGGGGGCTATAACGTTTTGTTCAGACACTTAGTAGAAGCTCATTGGGGCTGGCTTTCCAAACAGAAACTTCCACGAGTTGGGCATTTTGATTTCGTTGCCGTTCAGGGAAATCCATTTGCTCGTGAAATTCATGAGAGCTACTGCGTCCGGTATGTTGTCTCCTTCGGAGCAGAATCGGAGGAGAATGGCTGTTGGAATTGCATTGTGACTCAGGAATTTGTAGAGAGAAGGGGCGAATCCACCTCCTGGAATTCTTGCATCTTCTGGATGACCGAGGAAATTCGGTGATTTTTCCAGCTCAGTCCAGTCGGAGTCAATCTGTTGACTAAATTTTGAGAGAAATTCGGGGGATGCTTTGTATCGTAACGGTTCACTCTGGATTTGTACATCTGTCCGAGTGTGAGCCCATCCACTCGTTAAAATAACCACCTAGACAATATTCGTAAATACAATGAAAAGGAATATAATTTTCTTATTGGAGTTAGACCTCTGTTAAATAAACTGAAAACACTAGACTTTTGTCCACATATACCTTAGCTATTTTATGATTTTCAACAAACTCCTTGACACTTTGGAAAAACGCATTGGGTTTTTTCACCATTGGTGATCTTAACTGGATGACAACGAGTTTTCTCTCAGAATTATGGTAAATATCACACGATGTACAGAGTTCCATGGATTTCTCGAGGTAGGGATTACCCCCGATGATGGGAATAAAACAAGAAGTCATAATGTGTCCAACTTTTTCAAATTTTCCACTGGAAATTATTAGATCAACAGTTAACTGCGCTACATTCCCCACTGCTACAGCAGGAATTACCAGGGTGCAACCACTAATATCTGTAGTGCTCGTCAGTTTGATCATTTCGGATGACATGAATTGCTTTCAAGGATTATACTGAAGTCAACATAAGTTTTGCCTTGGCAATCTACCCCCACCACATAAATTTTACATACGAACCGTGTTCCCCGCTCTCTTTCTCAAAAAAAAAAAACTCATGTTGACTTCCGCATTAATTATATTATAGGCTTCAACAAGGGGATCCATTGCGGCGGCTACGGAACTAAGCCCGTACCTGTAAGTAAAACAGTTCGCGAGCCCGAGAGTATTGATAATTCGAAAAGGCCGTGAGCAGAGAGGATTGACTAAAGTAATTTTAACTCAGAAAATAACATTTACTCCGTCAAATTAAAGCTAATTTGACTTGATTTTATTTTTTTGTTTTGAACGGTTAGGGTATTAACCAATCAAGAGACTGACAATTGGTGAATATGTCAATCGGTTGACAATATTTTCATTGTTTAATAGTTATCAAACCCATAAAACGTCACGTATAGTACGTAATGAATTAATTATGTTTTTGTTGGATAATATTAACAATCACAATAAATTATGGATGATTCTGGCAGTAAAATTGTCGATGTCTCGTGGAAATTTGGAGGTGAGTATAACCTATCAACTGACACATTTGCGAGATAAACAATTGATCAAATAGTTATTTTTTTCCCTATTTGTTAGTATCACACCTGCTGCGATTGTTTTGATTATTTTCGATACGATATATTTAACTCCTTTTTTTAATAAAATGACCTTTAAGAATCATACGGTGAATATCATGGGAGTAAGTCTGTAGAGATATTCGGGATATTTTCCTGTGAAATGAAAATATGTAGAATGCATGTGGATAATAGGAAATGGGAATCGAATGGAATTCTATCGTGTGTATTCTCGGTTAATTCAATACATGAAATTTTTCAGTGACTGCAGCAAGCAGTGAATCTGATAAAGTTGGAAAAACTTTTCTTCAATTACGATTGCTTCTAGATGACAATGGAAAGAAGTCCGATGTGTTTACAGAGATGACACTCAGTCAGTTCTACAAATTCCTTCACGATTTGGAAAAGGCGAAGAACAGTCTAGATCTACTGGTTTAAATTTTATTACTTAATCACTATAAACTTATTATTTTCATATAAAATTTTTCTTTTACTTGATTGAGTAGAAAATTGTGTTTTTGGCACAAACATAATATTTAAAAAAAATATGAGACAAAAATGAAATTTTAGCTTACGCTAAAATGATTTCATAAATAAAATGAATTTCGAGTGAGAAATTATATAAAATCCTTAGAATGGTAAGACAAAGAATGAATACTTGGGGTCGAGCATATGTACATAGCTAGTATTCTAGATATATAGCAGAACTATTCTCCATAAAAATTGAAGAAATTCTGCGTATATGAACATTTCTCATTTCTGTTGTATGAATTACGCAAAAAACCTTTGGAATATCACAAGCTGAGTTTATCGACGATAATTGACACTTCCTCTGCATCCAGATAAAATTGACACCCTGAAGGTTTCATCAGCCTCGCAAGTTTCATACACGACAGATATGCTACTCGATGGTGAAGTACAGCCAGTTGAGCTCATCTGAAATTTTATAAATGATAGATAGTAGGAAGTGTAATATTTTCGTGCTAAAGAAATACAAATTCCAACCTTTGGAAATTCTTATTACTATGTATGGGAAGAAGAGTATTAGCAATTTTTTTGTGGTCATTGATCTCGAGGATTTCATACACTATCAATTCCAATTCTATCTAAAAATATGTCACAAGCTTATTAATTGAGCAAAAAAGTTCGCACTATTCAAAGAGACAGAAAAGTTAGTCTTTTCTCTCATGAATAAATATTCTAATTGAATAATGAAATCATTGTGTCCACGACTATTTCCCAATGAATTCTATTTTTGGCGTGCTTTCCTCGGAGTAATGCAAAAAGAATATGAAATATTTGATGATATTCCGTCAAGGCTACATAATTGTTTGAAGAACATTATTTTTTTTTTGTTTTTCTCGCAGTATAATGATGTGTTGTAGTAATCTGTGCATTTTACTTGGATTTGATCTATCAATTGTTCTTCATTTAAATAAGGAAGGAAGCTTTTCGTTAATGAAGGGAAAAAAATATATAGATGGATAATTAGAAAACGACGTACGAACAACGACTCCGAAATTGCAAGAAAAAATACAGCTCTTTATTTACAATTCTCTTCGACACATAAAAATGGAAAAATATTATAACATATTCACAGTTATTGATCTTTTTAAATTATACAATATTTCGTATTCGCGTTCGACAACGTCGTAAGTTGAGTATAAAGCGTTGAGACTCCTTGGGTATTGAAAAAAGAGTGATAAATAAAAATTACGTGAAAAATAAACGATAAGAAGCTGCCACATACGATAATAATAGTTAGCAGACGACATGAAAACAACAAATAAAATATGTTAATAGCAGTAGCAGAAATGTGTTGGTGGACTACGGGCTCGCCTCGTCATGTTTATTAATCACGAGATTATTATTTATCAAATATCGTGTAACTTTTTCAACGAATAATCTTTCCGTGCTACTGGAATGATACAGTGGCCAATTGCATTGAGTGGAACATTATTGGTTCAGCACGCGCCTCTGAGAGACCACAAATTTTTTTTTCTCGAATTTATCTCCAATTTCTTCCAACTGATTAATTAAAATATCATTAAATTAGATTAATGATTAACTTGCATGGAGTAATACACTCTAACAGGAACGTTAAGAATTTAGAGGAGCGTGAAAATAAGGCCAACAGAGATACTACTAATGTTCTAAATTACAAAGTAAAAATCGTTTTTTTTTTCTTTGTCATTTCATTTCTTCTCCTTGATATAAGATTAAAAAAATAACTCTTCCATTCTAACTTCAATGATTAGTAAACTGTAAATGTAAAAATTATTTAGCATCCGTCAATATTCGAATAAAAAATTATTCAGGCACATCTCAGTCTTTCAAATTTTCAATTTCAAAAATACCGAGAGAGCGGCATTAGGACTTAGAATTCGCGCATTTGAACATAAAGATTCGAGCACACACTAGTTTGAAAGAAATTAGTCATGTGCAGGACAGGATGTTTGAGCGCTCTTAAAGGTCTACGTCTTGGAAGAGGACTTGCCATTGTGCCCCTTTGATTATTGGGTTCGGCTAATGCTAAAGCTGGACTTTTCGTCTCTGATAATGAGCTTGATGAGCTGGGTTGTCTGACTGCGTCGATTTCTGTCATGGACTTGCCTAGTTCAGCTTTTTCACGGATTAACTCTAACACGGGAAGAATAGCACCGAGGAGCGGTCGTTTCGACGGTTCACCAGACCAACATTGCTCCATAAGTGTCCAGCACTCATCATCGAAGTGTGATAAACGTTCGGGTCGCACACCTAACCCACAACAAATAATATGAGTTATGAAATCAACCCAAATATAAATGTAAATGAACTCTTGTCAGATTTTTTTTCTCCATATCTCTTTGTATTTACCTCTCCGTACACTCCCCCACAGCTGCTCCTTATTCTGAAAGTGCTCAAAGGCATTAGGCATCCTCGTGTGTCCAGCGCAAGTATACCAGAGGAGAATACCAAAAGCATAAACATCAACACTACTATCATAATGTCCAGAGAGCAATTCAGGTGCCATATGTACGGGAGTTCCCACCACCGAGCCAGACATCATAGCTTCAGTAATACAAAATCCAAGGTCAGTCAATTTAGCTCGATTCTCCACATCCAACAGAACATTCTTCAATTTGATGTCCCTGTGCACAAGCCCCTGAGAGTGCAGATACCTGATTCCCTCAAGAACATCAATGGCGATTTGTATCCTCTCGAGCCAGGTTAAGCCCGCTCTGATGCCGCAATAAAGATCTCGACTCATTCTGTCAGTAATAAGCAAAACTGCAGCCCCCAATCCACATCCTCCTCCATAATTATGATCGATCACAGAGCCTCTGAGTTTGACAATCCTCTTGTGATCCGGAATAGTTCTAGTGTAATAAAATTCCATTGCAAGATCATTCCAGTGTTTCTCATCAGGAGGGACCACAGATTTAACAGCACAAGGTCCCGGAGCACCTCCCCACCCCTCACAAGCAAAAACAACTCCATACTGTCCCCTTCCGATCTCCTTTCCCTGATGAGGAATACCAAATCTCACCATATCACTCATCGAAGTTGACTCCAAAGCCAATTTAGCCAGCCTCGGTGCATGAATTTTTCTAATGGCCACCCTCTGCTCCTCGGTTCTCTCTAGTCGTCCGGAGTAATGATTCTCTAAGGACCTCAGAGCAGCATGAAAAGCATCGTGGGCGCATTTTATCTTATCCCTGAATTGCGTCGAAATAGTTTTGGCTAATCTCCCAGCCGATAGCGAATTGAGAACATCTATAGTGACTTTTTTCCTCCAGGAGGCGTCCAGGATGGGTGTTGGTGCCCAGGGGAGGGGCATGGATTTAAACAACTGTCTGAGCCTCTCAATAAACGAGTGAACCAGCGATGGAGACGAGTTATGAAGTTCTACATTATAAGCTGCTGATAGGATCTGCTTTAGAGCATCACTTGCAAGTAGGTTGCCATCTTGATCATAACTCTTCTCTAGCTCCAATAGACACCTTTGCAGGGTACCGAAGAAATTCTCTCGAAGGCAATTGACAAATGACACTAACTTTTTAGCAACTTTTTCACTTAATTCAATCAGAACAATCCTTTGGACATCAGTTGTGGCAGATCTGACAGTTGCATGCCACTCGGTCCTCTCTGAATCTTCTGATAACGTATTTTGGTACGCGCAATTGTTCTCATCAGTTCCTTCAACGTCATTCTTCATCTCTTGAATGATACTCTGGATTAATTCAGTCAGTTCCTCTTGATTTTTACTCACCACACTCATTAACCTCGTGTAGAGCTCATTCTCCTTCTGCTGGGCGTACTGGATTCTTCTGGGAGTTATCTGGATTTCTCTAGCCATGTCGAAGGCACTCAGGATGAATTTCCGGAGAAAAGTAGTGTGGATTTCATTAAGATAATTGCTGGCATTGACTAGATAACTTTGCAGACACCCTCGGGTAAAGTAAAGAATTCTATTAATTTTTGAGTAGGATTCAATGAGATCCGAGGAATTTACGTACTCTCCTCCCATCATCCAGCTCATCTGATCGACCTCGTCGGATTGTATCCTGAGAAAGCCAAGACCTCCTAGTTGATCCAGCCAGGTGTAGCCCAGTGAATTCATCTTTTCGAGATTGAACTTTTCATTTTCTCTGGAAGAGTCTGATGGAGAGGACAAGGATAGGGTGATTGACTCCGATTGACTCTGAAGACGATGCTGTTCTGATTCGGTTAGGTCTATATCGACGGAGTCGACGCTCGTACTGACTAGGGATGAGACAAAAAGTACTGGAGTGTAGGGGTAGGTTGCCTTAAGTTCTCGTAACTCCTCTGTGTTTTGCTCGGTCAGAGGATGGTCGCTCAAGGCGTAGAGAAAGATTGGAAGGATACCGAGGGCACCCTTCGCCAGAGTCTTGACAGCTGCCGCATCGGGAACTACAAATATCTGGACGTTGTCCTTTAAAACTGCTTTATCGAGCTTCACTTCCAAGATTGTAGGGCAATTTGGATCGTCGTTGTCCGATCTTTTGAGGTCCTCCTCAGGGAGGGTGTTCCAGATAGTTTCGTTTGCTTGGACTCTGTCTACTACCTCGTACTCCAGACCCAAGGTAAGACTCACGTGATTTGTAAATCCGTAGCCAAATTTTAACCACCTCCATTGACCGTCTGTTGAAGGGAGTATCTCGATTCCTAGGAGGCGGTTGACGAGGGCTGCTTTAGATTTGCAGTCTTGTCCGGATATCACTATTGCTGGGTGATTGTCCAGAATGTGGGTCAAATTATCCAGGGTTATGGAGGGTAGCAATTTCTCGATTATATTCTCTGGAAGGGAAGAAATAGTGATGGGTGGACGGGCGCTCGGTGTAAAAGAGGACGAAAAAGAGAATAACTTGAATTATCACGTATTGAAGTTTCATTCTTATTTCATTGTGGAGAGCGAAATAATTAATACACGAAGGAATTTATATGCAATTTCATTAAAAAGATTTGGGAGAGCCAGATCTTTCATTTTTAAATCCATGTAAAACAATTATTCCTTAACATTTTTCAGCTTGCATTAAAAATAATTTCCGACTTATTTTAATTCACATCCGACTTATTTTAAAACTGTTCTTGTATAGTCTGTTTTCTCTGAGGGTAAGATTACTTATCTGCCAACGTGTCATTTTCGCGACTAAAATATGAAACTTATATATTTCATCAGTGAATATCTCCTTGCGTCACAATATCGTTGTATTATGAATTCCGCTCATCACTTATACTTTTATTTTGACATCTTTACGATTTTTATCATGAAAATTGAATGAGGAAATATTAAAAAATTAGGTTTTACCATGTGTAGATTCAAAATTTTGTCGATAATGATCAACTGTTAGAGCGGTTTATCAAGAGTTTCCATTCTGAATTGAGTTTATCCCTTTAATTATTCACGATATTGTTTTCACGAGCTAGTTATTCTCATGATAATCCCATAATTAACCGAATTATCACATATTTATATAATATATCTTTGGGCCATTTATCTCATTGCATCCATTAAAAAATCATTACCGCCAGGAAAGAAGTTCTCATGATTTATAACATCCAAAGTGCGTTGTGTCTCTTTAAAGATATGTCTCAATTGTTGACGATTTCTCTGATATCTCCGGAACTCCTGTGGTAGTTTGCTCACCATCGTGACAGTCTTTCCGTCTAAAAATGATTTTGCCTCGTCTCATTAATTCCATTCTAAGCAAAACATCTGAGACAAGCATAATCAAGACAATCGCATCCAATAGTAATCACCATAATCACCCTAATCCACTAAAGACGTAATTGCCATTTTTTCCAAGCACTCGTTTAACCCACAAATGCTTCAACAATTGCGATGACTGTAATTACTCTAATGCCAAATATTGACGAGAGTATATCTTACGTCAAGGATTTAATAAAGAGTGAAAGAGTGAATACTCATGAAGAGAAGCTGATGTAAATGTCAAATCTTTTCCCAGTATTTGATGTCCTTTGAACCAAATATTCCATTAAACTGGCGCCAGATAACAACAATTAAAGAGACAATTTGACCTTCTCTATGTAATCCCAAACCTCTTATCGCTGAGTTGAACAATTTTCCTCTTTTTTTTTTTTCATAAAAATAACGGAATAATCAATCAATTAATCAACTCGAAAAGGTTGCAATTGATTTCTAAACATTATTATTCATTACCCCGTTAAGAGTTGTGACAGATGACGAGGGAACACTGGGGTAAATTAAATTACCTGCACACATCCACACCAATCCCAGGCACTTTGTCACATAATTTCAATGTTTTTTTTTTTCTTTTTTTTTTAATATTATTCTGTTTGTTTAGAGGTGCAATGTTTCTGATTCGATGGTTTGCCTGGTCTCTTCAAGGGCACCACAAGCCCCATCCAGGCAAAACCAGTAATATCTTCAACTTAATTATTCAGTCTTTTTATGCACAAATTAACTCGTACATTATCGATACTCTCGCTTTGTGCTACACGGTAAATGTAAAGGTAAATGTAGATATGTTGAACCAGCTGGAGTAAAGAGTACGGGGAGTGATCTGCACTCAACCAACCACGAGCCACCACTGGCCCGCGAATTCCCCCTGACGTTTGACTGATAATTAATGATTTCTGTGGAGAAATGTGGAAGATCCAGAGAAATCTGTCATGAAAAGTGAAGGCCTGAAGGGTAACCAGTGATATCCAGACGTTATAGTCTCCTATGACATATTGATGAATTGGTTTTATTATTTTTAGAGATGTTTGCACTTTAGAATAGTTTTATTGTTCCCAAGAGATTTAATGCTTATGACTCGTCATTTTAATCGTTTATCTCGATGCATTCTGTTAGAATAACAGAAAAAGCAAAGACGTATTTTGTGTTACGATTGTCACCACCTGTTCCGTTACCATAGTTCCCTGACCCACAACTGACAATAATGCACCTACAACATGGGCTAGTTTCAACCCGCTTGGCAGTCTTGACAAATCCATTGACTGGTTTCATCTTTACCAGCGTATTCTAATAATTTTTCTCAGTATTTTATTGTTTCCAATGTCGAGACACCTAAATTTTATTGTCAACTCCTCCCCCCCTGCCGACAAAAAAAGAAAGAAAAAAAAATTAACCCTGTGCTATGCACGTCCACGTTTAGAAATGCCTAACGACGAGTTGTTAATTAAAAAAGGGGATACCAAGGTGAATTCATTAGGCGGCGCTGACAGACTCTCAGAAGATGGTTTATACATCTCTTCAACTGGTCCATTGACTCATAGTGTAGTAAAGCCCTACCAAGTGGGGCACCAACGAGCAATGGACACCCATAAAGTCTCCAAAATTCCCCAAAACCTCCTGGAAATGGCAATCCGTGAGGTGAATATCATCTCTTCAGACCAATCAAAGTCCTTGGAAATAAATTCAGTGTCAGTGCTCTACCGCGAAAAAGTCATTTGCAAAATAGTGAGTCCTTTCAATAGAAAGTTATACAAACTGCTGGTGAATAATTCTCTAGAATCAAACAATTTATCACTGAGAGTGCAATCTCGCGAGGGCCACTGCAGCGATTTGCCGTTTCCATTACCGACGAGATGTGTTAAAGATAAAAAATTGCAGATTGATTTCTCAATGAAGGACCAATCAGGTATATCTCACTCAGGAACTCTCATGTACACGATATCTCTGTCAATTGAAGGGGGCTCCTACCTTCCAATGATCTCATGCAAGCCTACTGAGACTAACGATCCGAATGATCCCCAAAACTCTCTCTCCCTTCTCAAAATAAGGCGAAAGATGATGAATAAACACGTGAGATACTTTAGCTTAGAGGAGCAAGCCTCGAGCCTCCAATATGATAAACCACTATTGCATTTACAAACCAATGAGAAGAAAAAAGATGGTCGACCGCTCGGAGATGTGATGGTCCTCGAACAGCCAGTGTTCTCGTTTATGTCTCTATGGGACATCTCGTTTGGCAACTGGTTACAAGCGAGACGGCCACTCAGACCATCGTCAGGTACATCCGGCCCAAAATTCCGAGGCGCATGTGAGCCAGTCTTGAGCATAACTGTATTGAGGGGTGTGGAGGTGCCAGTGCGTGAAGAATCGACGCTAGTTCAGCCAATAGTTGAAATTGAGTGGGGAGAGTTGAGGCAGGCGACCAGTGCCTCCGAAGGGGCTAGCCCAGTTTGGCAGCATACCATCCATTTTTCCAGACCCTCTCGTCGAAGAGATTCTAACATAAAATTGTCTCTTTATGATCAGCACCCTGTGTGGGGCCTTCAGTGGCTGGGGGCGTCAATCATTCCCCTGGAGTTGACCCGTAACTACCAACAAGTTGAGAGATGGATTGGCCTCTCACCGTTAATCAGTCCCGTCGTTCGTTTGGGTTACGTCCAGGCGAGCCCAATGCGTTCGTACACCAGAATTTACATATTAATGAGGATGGAGAGACTGACTAATGGGGAGAGCTTGGAGATGAGCTCTCTGGAGAATCTCTCTAGAGCCATTCAACGGTGTCTACTTATTCCGTATAAAATACCCGGAACTGATACAACCGAGGACGCTGCAAGATTGGCCATGCTACTGACTCCCTTACCTTCCCAGTATGGACCATTGACACCCAGGCAGGCCTTCAAACTCAATAAAATCGATCATTTTGGACGAGCTGCATTACTGGCCACTCTCCTTCGAGGACTGGGGCTTGAGGCTTACGTTCTAATTGGCACTTCTCAAGCAAGAAATTGGGCAGGTTTTGTTATTTCGCTCAATGATAAAAACCAACATGTTCTGTGGGATCCAGAGAATGGTGAACAATACAATTTTGGGGATTCTAGGTGCTCTATCATCAAAGTTTTGAGGATGATAAGTCATCAGAATGTCAGTCTACATTAAATTTTTACTTTTCTTTTCATGCTATATATAACTATACGTTCTGTATTCATGTAATAGTCATGGTATTTATTTCAGGTCTGGAAGAACCTTCAGAAAACATCAACTATATCAGATATAAAATTCAACACGAAAATAGCGAGTGAGTGGCAAGCATTGGGTACATTGTCAAGTGCCCCCCCAGGGCACGAGCCTCAAATTCTGGAGATAGAAGACGGTGTATTGAGAAATCCTGATCAAGAGAAAGATGCGCACCTCGAGATAGAGAATCACTTGAAAGACAGATTGTCGCAATGGAGAAGTGGAATGGGCTTGACAACGGTCTTCAATCGACATGCAATGTCTCTCCTTCGAGGATTCCTCTTGAAATTATCGAGCCGTAATGACGGACAGCTTGAGAAAAAAGATTTAAGACAGCTTTATCATGCTTATCACCTTCACGGCTTCGTACTCAATCTTCGTTGGTCGCCAATGGACGAATTACTAGAATTATTCGCTTCCACGCGACTCCAAGAGGTTACGGGACCTGTAGAATTCGCTCTAGTTTGTCATTTGCAGCGTTATGTGGCCAAAACCTCATCACTGTGGTTAGCTGTTTTAATATTAAAAAACCGAGACTGATGAAATAAACCAGTGTTCAATAATTATCTATGCAACTGACAATTGGACAATGATAAACATAACAATATTTTATTGCCTAAGATTTCATTATCAGCTTGGAAAAAATATATATTATAAATATATATATGTGAAAGTACACAAGAGAGTAATTCAACTGAATTATTTTGCTTATTTTAGTCCATTGAGCAAGATGACTTGCTGAATTAATTAAAAAAAATAAAATAAAAACACTTTTTTTTCTGACTACCTGGAGGGAAATAAACATAATGTGAAACTAATAACATATGTACGATCTAATGGTATTATTTGTGCCCATTGAAGGCAGATTGCTGGAATTTTATTCGCATTGTCTTCTTCTACTGCGATTCAATACACGATCGAACATTGCGAAATCTTACATTGTAGTCCCTGGTATGTAATTGTACACGTTTCGTGAACTCTTTATCTTTTAGATTTAATTCAATCATTTGTTCTGTAGAAAAATTGGAAAAAACTCCAACTTGTTGAAATTAATTCGTCTTTTCCTAATGAATCACTTAGATATTGGTGGCTTTTTCCCCTAATTATTGATAAAAATTCTTTTTTACTATTGAATCGGAGATTTCCGCAAATTCGATTATGGCAGTGAGACAAGCATAAATTGTTCTCAAACGCCTTAAAACCTGATTTTGGATACGAAAAAACAATAACGAGATAAATAGCCCTTTGAAGTATCAATTATAAATGCAATCACATTCAACGCTGGCCACGTCTTTGTGTGGAATTTCCATTTCCCATGCATTGGAATATTTTTTCTGCGCAAATCAGCATTAATCTAAGACAATAAATTATATTTCAACCACTCACTCAATCGGTCACGCGCCGAGCGACACTTAAATTAATATCCTTCTCTTTTTTTTTCGTCCATAAAAACAAGAAAAATATCACCATGAGGCGAGAAATAATTGACTTCCCATTTGTTTAATTTCCGTGCATGCCCCTGTCCCGGATAAACTACCTACATAATATATACACAAATTTTTGCAACCTATTATCCTATTTCTCACTTCAGGGTGACAAAAAAATTAGAGTGAAGATAGAAAAAAAAAACAATGATATATGGAAAAAAGAAATGATTGGAGGTTTGCGAGGTCCATGGGCTCAGGAATGTCGAGTCATTGAGAGCGAGAATGACTTGCGTGTGGTGGTTCCTCATGGTTAACAGACGAAAAGGAAATACAAGCATAAAGAAAAGGTGTCGTCTCTACGGGCTCCCTGAGCCACTTGACTCTTTGAGGCTTTTTTGATGACAAATGAATAAAGTAGTAGAATGACGTTACGTTATTTCTTCACTGAATCTTCTTCGAAGTAATGCCATTCGATACACCGTTGTGCCGTCCATTGATTTTACTCGTCGTTACCTCCTCGTCAGCCAATTTTTTTTTCTTCAGCGCTGCATTTTGTCGATTTGCGTATGCCTGCTTACCCTGAAGAAAATGCAAAAAAAAAAAAAAAACAAACCAGAATTCAAATTACTTGCACAATTTTCACCTCCAATTCGCTACTGATTCATCATTTAGGAAAATCGTAAAGGGGAGTAAAATTAAAATTTTTTTCGTTATCTATAAGTATTCCGGGGTATATTACAAAGAAGAAAAAATCTCCAAATATAACGTTTGATTTGATATACCTTGGCAATATAGGCCTTGGCATAGAAATTGCCAAATAGGACGATGAAAGACACCATATAAATGACCAGTGCATACTGCATCCACAGGGGAAAATCACATCCATTCTTAATGCCATTGATGCCAAGAATGAGAGCACTTGTGAATTGAATGAGCTGAAGAATAGTCAAGTATTTCTTCCACCAGAGATACTTGGCAACCGATGGCCCAAACGCAGCGAGACCATAATACGAGTACATGAGCACGTGGATAAAACTGTTGACCATGGCCGGCAAGAAGGCTAAACGTACAAAAACAACAAAAACACATTATCTTCAGTCATTACTCCGATGTGATATTTACACGTTTTTTTTTCTTCTCTTTTTTTACCGCTAACAACTGCATTGGTTGTTAACCACATATATAGCTGATTATCGGCCAACTTTTCAGCGCACGCGACTAATTCCACGAAATAAAAGCTTTATTTATTACTCACTTGAACCACTGGGAACCCATTTTATTCCAATCCACCACAATGAAAACATGGTAGAATGATGATACACGTGTAGGAAGCTCAGTTGATTGTCCTTTTTTCTCAATATGAAGAAGAAAGTATCGCAGAACTCTAGGAGTTTGCTGAAGTAGTACCACCAAACAGCATTCGCAATCTTTAAAAACGCCCATATCGATTAGTCAATGGAAGAAGAAGAAGAAGAAAAAAAAATTAGTGCATACAAGTGCATTTATTTTGGGGAAAATTTTCGATTTTTCCTACTATTAACTCTACCTGCAGCTCTTCCGTCCGCCACGTATTCCTTATCGGCTGGCATACGTAACTATACCTCAATTTAGTCGATGCTATGAATAACTGAAAAAGCCAATAGAAAAAATCATGAAATCAAGGGAACGTGAAAATTAACTAATGGGAATTTTTTGTATTGAAATTTCTGAATATTATGTACCTGGACCGCAATGTATCCGTTGAGGAGCGCCATTGCAAAATTGTACGGTACCAGAAGCCAAGTTAATTTGAATGCTTTTCTATTTCTCATGACTTTTGGTCCTACCCACACTATGAATAAATATATCATGGTGTAGAGTAGAGTAGGCGTCGGCGAATCTACCAATAGCCATCCTCTGGTTCTGTCATCTTCAATTGAATTTTATTATTTTTCATTTGATAAAGTTCTTGAGATCAATTAAATATTCATCTATAGAATAAAATTATAAATAATATAACCTGCTAATGACAGTGTCCAGAGGTAATAATCATATGCACTAGTGAAAAATATCGACGTTGAATTAATAAGGTCTGCCATCACCTGAAATTAAATGCTATTTGAATAATAATAAACATATGGCTACGACCAAAACGGTAAAATTCATAGATTATTGTAATAAAACCGAGAAAACAAAAAAAAGAATGGATAGCAAAAATGACTGAAAAAAAGGAAAAATAATAGAAAGAAATTACGTTCAACTATCCTCAGCACGACTGTCCCCAATGATTAGTAAATATGACTTGAACATTCCTTATTCGTTATCGTGAAAAGCCTTGAAGCATTTGCACTTCACCATCGCCAAGCAAAATTTCCCATTCCCATTATTATAATTTTTATTATTTCTCTAATGAATAAACGCTCCAAAGACAGAAGGAAACGCCAGTTTTTAATATATTTTCCAATGGTATGAGCTTTCATATCTTCATGAAAGTTGGTAAGAATGTCTATTATATGAGCCGTGAGGCTTTACCTCTTTAATTATATTTTCACCCACTAAATGTCTCTTGAGAACAGGTGAGAGAGTTGATAATTTTTGTAACTATTAAATGAAAATAAATTTCTCGTGCCTGATGGTAATAACTTTCCCACTATGTTCACCATTCCATTAATCGTCCATACTACGAATTCCAACTTGCTTTGCAACTTCTTTTCTCAATAAGTGTGAAATTTTTTTCCAACTTTTACTCTACTCTCTCTTTAATTACAAAAAATTATCTATAATAACGTAGCAATATGATTTCATCTTAGGGTTTTTTCTCATAAATTATCAGCAATATTGGAAAAATATGAATATTTAAAATATCAAGAAGGAAAGCACTGGTCCTTTAATTTTACACACAAATCCAGAGTAATGAATAAATAATGAGTTAAAAATATATTTGTCGCTTTAGGTATTCAAAAATAACTTGAAATGAGGAAAAATTATGAGTCGGTGTATCGCAGCGGTTTCTCCACTAGATTGAATGCCAATCCAGACTCTCTTCTCTTTTTTACATATATCACACGATCGTGGCAATCTGAGCTCGTTCTTTACACTTATATCCTTACAGCCTCAACTTTCACTAGCGTTTGATTATTTTCAGCGAAACCGATTAAATGAGTTTTATATAGACAAGAATTTCACTCTCGTTTGAATTAACTTAGAGATGTGGGAACGCTATTAGCTGATTGATTTTTCGTTTTATCACGCGGCTATTCACTTTGATATTTCAATTACACGCCGATTTACACCTGTCATTACTCTCCATAATACAAAAATCACTTATAAGAGATAAAAAAAAAACATCTAAACTTACCTGGAATAAAATTCAATGGGGAAATAGGAAAGAATTGAGCAAAAAATCAAGCTCTCAGCAAATATTGAATATTAAATGATAATATTTCACAATGATCTATAAAGACATGACTTGGGTGGATGGATAAATAATGAGAATGAGGGAAAAATAGGAGAATGCGTCGTCGGATGGGCGAAACGACGACGTCTTACCACGAAAGTGCCAGCGTCTCTGAACGGGACAGCCGAGTGGTCTTTATAACTTTAGCCTCACCATGCGCCTCAGCCAATATTGGTAGGCGTACCACAGGTAGAACGGGGCCAATACGATATGCACGTGGGGATAGAGGAATATCCACCAGCCACAAGCCATCAGCCATCAGCCACCAACCACCAACCACCAGCCACCAGTCATCACTTCCTTTTTTTTCCCCATTTTGACGACATTCTTAACAATTCTATCCTATTTTTCATCAATAGTAATATTATTCCCGAGAGGATCATATAAAAAAATATCTCATAAAACGAGAGTTTATCGTTGACTATGAAAACACTATGAAAAATCATTCATCTTTTGCTGACTCCCGAATTTGTTCCGTTTTTTTTTTCTCTTAAATGAAAAATTATGTTTCTTGTGGAAAATAGTGCAAAGGTAATAAAGATAAAAGAGGAACGCTCCAAGGGTCAAAGTGTCCCGAACAAAACCTGTTCTACCGTTGTTATACCGTTGGCTGGACCCAATTTAATGAGAAATGAGGGAGGTGGGACCCAACTGATGTTACCCCATCGAAAATCTCGGATATTTTTTTATTTTGTGGGCCACACAATGCGAGAAAGCAAAACTCTGTTGCTTAGATTCCTGGAGGCATTTAAAAATGTCATGGACCGATGATCTAAGAGGTATCACGATAATTTATACATCTGTGGCCACTGAGCTTCTCCGAATCGACAGTATTAATGGCCTGGGGCATACTTTCAAAATATACCAATTTTGTCGTGGCATTTTTTTTCCTTCTTTTCTGGTTGGGTCTGCTTGGGTCTCGGTCAGTAGCGCGCTATCTTCCTGGCTGGATAATCACCACGTCACCTCATCACACAACTCCCCCGTCACTCTCTCCACCGGCCAATGATGTTTCTCCTTTGAAAATTCACAAACTCCAGTGATCGATGCACAAACAACCATGAGGAATTTTATGTCCTTATTTTTTAGCAGTCGTCATCGTTTGACTAGTCGAATGTGGCAAGTGTTGACGCTGTTCTTCACGCTGCTATCCAACTTGGCATGACACGTGGACTTTTTCATTTGATATTTCATTCTCAAGATTCTTCAATTACGTTTCAAGCATTTTTTTTACTATCTTCCGAAAAAGACTATTTAATTTTTTCATTAATAAACATTGACATATGCCAAGAATTAAGAGGTGAAAAATACACAAATACGGAATAAAAGATAGTGAAATATTTGCAAAGTCCAAACATTTTATTTACACTTGAGACTTATGCAACTGTTCCTAGAATAAGTCGTACTTACTCGGCTTCACAGACTTTCACAGATTTTGCTAACAGAACAGAGTTCATGTAGTTCTTTTTATTCGATGACGCAAGTGTTTGGAATAATATTTGAAAATATAGTGAGAATAATTGACATGCTATTCTTAATTCACTGATGGTCTTCAATCAACGAATATCAAACGAGGGGAAAAGCCGTTTTAATAGAGAGTGTTATCGTCCTTTCACTCAATAAACATTTCATTTAATCTTCTGGAGAGGAGAACTAGCGAGTAATGAAATTAAATAATTCATTGAATGACAGAATGGAGGGAAATTCACAAAACGCAATAATAAAATCAAAAACGATTCTCTCAATGAAACATGATTGCTACGGAAATGCCAGAAAAATGCGGGAAAATATCGATGAGCAAAAGAGCTGGTGTTCATCAATCCACCCACAATACACCCGCTGCTGAATGTACAATTTGAATGGTGGACTTGAAAAGAGATAACGGAAAAAAACTGACGTAGGAAAATAATCGAGGCATAAGGAAACTTGACTTCCGACTATGGTTTCACTAACAGTCCAAGCTCCAAGTGTACGTTGTTAGTTAGTTAGGTATACCGAGTGATAACTCGTTGAGTGTGTGGATCAAATAGATGGACGCGTTGGTGAGGTTTCACTTTCTACAAATTCCCCCTATCCTGTAGCATATTGTGAAAAAAAACAGCAGTCTCTTTATTTGAACATATGAATGACACCCAGGCGAACAAGACTGATAATGATCTGTCTTCAATATCATACTATTTGTCAAAACAATGGAAAACGCTCGAGATTCAAGACCTGACAATCATCAAAGATAGATACTTCAATGTCATTACCATACGGCGCACTAAATTTCCCCGTACTATAAGTACGAGTAAATAATTTCCCAATTTCCCATTTCCCAATTTCCCATTTCCCAATTGCCATTGGATAAAACTCAAATTGATATATAAACATATTTATGAAGGATCCGACGACGATACATGCAGCGAAAGTGAAGTTTCTCAAGTGCAACGAGATGCTTAGAAAGTGCAAGCGTTTACCACTCTACACCATGAGATAGAAATGAGGCAAAGATTATTAATAATTAATCATTGAAATGTAGCCTTAATAACTGGAAGGTGTTATAAAATCTTCTCTCTAAATCCAGGGAAACTTTATAAAGAGAAGATAACTTACGAAAATGGCCAATTTAATGGGATTTTGTGCGGAGAAAGTGACCGAGGTTTCATTCATTCATCATGAATTTAAAAATTCCATCTATGTATATGTGGCATATATTATATTTATGATATTGAGGGAATTCCCAATTTGGTAATAAATACCAATAAATCAGAGTACATACCATTAGTCCATAAACTCGCTGAGTACTTGCTTTAAAAATATTGATCAAGCCAATAATATTCAGATGATATTATTAATTGAGTTTTAATGTTATTTATAACAGTATTACGAAGCTTTAACACCTTCTTTTACCTCCATAATTTAAAGCAACAAAACAACTGGATGATGAGCACGAAAATGCAGAGCTTACGGGTGCCGGCCGGCCGCCATAACTGAAATCAATACATATATTCCTCCCCAGCAAGGAGCATCCACAAGACGACCACCTTCTATCGCCATCAACTTTTACACTGTCTCTTGCACAATTTATTCTACGACAAGACGACAAGTTATAACAAAAGCAGCGAGAAGAAGCTTAAAGAGGTTCCACAAAACGACTTTGACCATTCTTTCACGACAGAGCATTATTATTATCATTACAGTTTTTTTTTTCATGGGCAATAGCAAATGGAGCACCTCGTCTTGGCCATAAATGAGAAAGCGCGCATGTACTTTCCAATTAGCATTCTTCGAAGGTATTTTTACAATTCAATGATTTATTTCTTTGTGAATAATCCTAAATGCAAAATCTTCATGAATGTGGTGGGTGACGGCCACAGCCTCTCTGAGCTTCAACCCAGTCGCAGACACGAGAAAATAAAAAAGCTCCAATGGAAAAGTGCCGAGCGCTCCTTTCACTCTGAACTGCTGGAGGGTGAAAGAATATATGGCAAAGGCCAGTAAACACTAAATAGTTTTATCGTTGTAAAGAAGATGTAAAAAATCAGTACCATTTTGAATAAGCGCCCTTACTTGTTAATTAAATGATTGATTGAAAGATACTCGAGCTGACATCACACTAACATCACTCTTCATGTCGAAAAATCTATGGCAATATAGGTGTTGGGAAAGACAGATTTCAGTAATATGCCAATGGGGTCCAATGGCCCCCTGAAATTTCTTTTCAATGACTCTGGGGGGATACACAAGGAGGTCGCAGAATTGAGGTCGTTGGATGTAGCGCAGGTACCGTTCCAAGCAGTATGTATAAGATTTTTACTCTTCCTTTTATTTTTTATCGATCAAGGCCACTTGACTTTGTGATTTACCGTTAATCCAAGGGAATTACTTGAGAGAAAAATGATATATAAAAGAAAATAAGACAAAACAAGAACGACAACTTGTTTATAACTGATAAGAATTTATAATTGATACCTGCATCAAATTATAACATTGAACAATTAAATATAATTGTCGCCAATTTGGCTGATTGATTGATTGGCGGCTAGATGATGATAGTTTTACGTGCTAGTCCAACAGCGAAATTGCCGCCATTTGATGATGGTCCACTGGTAAGAATTGAGGATGAGTTGGTACATTATTTTCTTATTTGTTGTCTATCTAATGGATGGAGCCGAGTGCGGAGCCCGGTAATTATCATTTACTTGCATTGCCACTTATATTAATATTATTTTCAATTTTTGCCATCTTGTTATTTTATGTAGATTATATAATGCGGAGCAAAAGAAAAATTCAACTGTAAGACCGGAAGTTGTACTTCCAAAGGACTATATCAAGGGTACAGTACTTCATTTAAGTAATATAATAATTCAACGATTTTTATCAACCCGTTATTCACTATGTCTACCTTTATATTTACAACTTGTCATTGGGTTGCTGTAGAAATTCGACCATCTGTTGCGAAAGGTGGCCCAGTGGTTGTGGACTTCAATCTCTTCATCGTAGATATAAATTCAATTAATGTTGAAGATATGGATTTTCGGTTAGTACTGCATATACCATTGTATAATACTTTGCAATTTTTTGTTTATAGTTTAATTAATGCAATTCTATTTAATATAGAGTGGACATGTTTATACGACAGAGTTGGATGGAATCGCGCCTGAATATACCGGACGATATATTTGAGGAAGGCGATGATTACGTCACCCTTCCACCCGAATTTTTCGACAACCTTTGGCAGCCTGATCCCTATTTTCTAAATTCGAAAATCGCTGGTAGATATTTCTGATCATCATCATAGTCAATTATTTATAGAAAATTTCGTTTGTTTTTTTTTTCTTTTGCATTAATTGGGTAATTTTTTCTTACAGAAATTGCTACTCTGACTCACAAATTCTCGTCAGTAACCCTCTTTAGAAATAAAACAGTAAGATACGCAGCTCGAATGCATGCTATTGTAGCCTGCCAAATGGAATTTCAACTGTATCCCATGGACATACAAGTGTGTCCCATATATATCGAGAGCTGTGAGTTTTTGTGGATGTTGGGATTGTTGCGTTCCATAAATTTGAGTCACGAGATTCACATAGAATTAACGGCACATCAATAAAAAGAATATAACTTGAAAATCGAATGAATTAGGGTGTCATTATATCAATCAATGTAATGACTTTACATTCTCATAAATTAAAATTGTCATAAGATTTAAAGTCGGATGTTTCACAACTAAAAGCCCTAAATTTCCATACAAATGATCATAAATAGGATATTTAAAAACAAATTCGTGTCATTTCATTCAAGTCTCGTACAACAGTGAAAAGCTACGTCTCCGGTGGGAGGGCGATGACGGGGGTGTGAGTGTAAACCCAGAGCTTAAGCTTCTCCAATACGACTTTGGTAAACCACGATTATCGGAGGAAACCAATCACATACCCGAGAAGAATGGCAAATTCTCAAGACTCATTGTTTTTTTTAAATTTGAAAGACAAATTGGTCACCACCTGATCCAAACATTTGCCCCATCAACACTAGTGGTGATGCTATCATGGTTCAGCTTCTGGCTGGGTCTCGATGCCATACCGGGTCGTGTGACACTTCTCGTTACAAGTATGCTTACCTTAGTAACAATGTTTACTGGATTAAAGACTGATATTCCACCGGTTGCTTATGTCAAAGTAAGTATAATCGTAATCCATTCTCGTAATCCAGTGTGACCTCATTATCGATTTACAATCAAACGGCTAAAATGGATTGCTTTATCGTTAGGCCCTAGATTTATGGATGGCTGGGTGCATGGTGTTCGTATTTGCTTCTCTCAGTGAATTCGTTGTGGTCAAAGTTCTGGACTTGAGGCGTCAACAGTCACTGGACACAGCTGTTAATTATCATCGTCAATTGACAACTGTAAAATTAACTATTCTTTTATCGTTGTTCCAACTGAAACAGCTAGAGATATTCTACAGATATTTCAATGTTACGAATTTTTTAGAGACTAGCCTCAAGCTCATCGGTATGGGATTACGAGTCTATATTTGCGCCACAACCACCACAACCACCACAACCCAGGAAAACAAGAGCAGGGAGTAAGCATTTATTGCAAACCACTTGGCTTGATCCAGAGATTTTAGGGAAACCTAAAAAAACTCTTTCCCGAAAAATAGATGGTTACAGTCGGATTATTTTTCCAACATTATTTCTATTGTTTATTACCTTGTATTGGCCGATTGTTCTCCTAAAAAAAAAAGTCCCGTAAATTTTGATTGAACAGATGCCAATGATATTTAATTAATAATTTGTATAATAATAAATTGTCAAATACAAATGTTTAATTGCTTTAAAAAATTTGTATATAATTAATCAACCATCATATCGTCTCCGGATCCATCGGATTCTGCATTACTCTTTTTAACCTGCACTTTCAATTTAGCCCTATTTCTGATGAAACTCATTGTATATTGATTGAAGTCACAAATTCTACCAAGATCATCGTACTTCTGCTGCATATTTTTTTTCAGAGTGAGCAAAATGGGTAGTTGAAAAGGTGAATTAATGAAGTGCCCCGATTTCGTAAGAATGATTTCAATCCAGATGAGATAAAAATGAATGTGTCGGCTCCTCTCAAATTCTACGGCCGTAAACATTAGTAACTTGTCAATATAAAGGTGCGAGAGAGTGGCAACAGTGAGCTCAACATCTTCACAAGGAATTCTCTCAATGACATTTCTGATGAGATCCTTTTCATTGAGTCTTAATGCCATCATAAGGGCCTTGGCATATTCTCCAGTCTCGAGAACTTCTACAACACTGCTTATGGTGATCCCCAACTCAAGTTGAAACGGATCAAATACCAGTGCTACATCTAGAGAATAAATCAAGAGACCCTCGGTGGTGGCAGCAGCCCAGGCCTGGCCAGTTGGTGAAAATTGCAAGCTGTAAACCCTGATCTCTGGTTTTATGTTTCTACTGGTCATATCGCCACTTTTCACTCCAGGCAGCCTCAAAGCTACATGTCCACCCTCCCTCTCCTCACGCTCCTCTACCAGCGCTAAATTACCAAAATCGGTAATCTTTCTTCTGTTGATAAAATCATCGACAGCATCAAACGAGTGATTCTGTGTTATTTCAAACTTCTTAATAAGAACAGACTCCTTGATGTTGTAAATGCAGATATTTTTAGAGTGTCCACCAGCGAGAATACAGGAGCCATCAGCAGTATAACAAAGAGAGGTGAATGCCTTTCCCTTGAGGCTCTTCTTAGCAGTGATGAGATCGGTTTCGGCTCGGCCACTTGTTAGGTCTTTTCTCCCCTCGATGCTTCCAGTTTGGTTCGATGTTTTGCAATCAAAGAAAGATATTTGTCCATCTAAAGTTGCAACTGCAACCTCATCCCCACTGGGTTTATAAACTACACACAGTCCGTCAGCAGTTAATTGAATAGTTTCATGAGTTGATCCACTCTCAATTGCATTCCATAATTTAAGGGTCTTATCACCCCACGAGACTGAGGCCAGAGCTGTGCTAGCTGGACTTGGATTGAAGGATAGGCTGGAGACGGGGCCCTCGTGGCCAGTGAGAATCTCAAGTAATGTTCCAAGTTTTACACTCCATAGGTAAATGTCAAAGACATCCTGACCCCCAGCCGCCAGGAACTCATCGCTCGAATCCAGAGCTAGACATGAGAATTGGACAGGTCTTGGCGATGTGAATGTTTTGAAATTTCTATAGCGAGCTAAATCATAAGCTCGAGCAGTTCCATCCAATGAGGCTGACACAATAAACTTCCTGTTGTGGCTGAATAATACATGGGAGATGGAACTAGTGTGCTCTGAGAAAGTCACTGTGCAAAATCCACTAAGAGTATTCCAAAGTTTAACTTTTCCATCATCTCCACCTGTAATTATGTACTGACCATCAGGACTATAGGCTAAAGAGTTCATGCAAGTGCTATGACCCTGTTGTTTCATAGCATATGTTTCGCTCTGCCACTCCCAAACAAGAAGTTGGCCCAACTTGGCACAGCCCAGAGCAATCAAGTCGCCAGTCACGTTCAGAGCTATCGTCGAGATGCACTGGTTGGAAATACTGAGCGAGTGAATTAAATTGACCTCGGGCATTTCGTGGAGAAAGAAGGAGCCATTACTAAATCCCGAGACAAGAATTCGCGTCTTTGCGTGATACGCTGCTGCTGTTAAAATTGCTGATTTATCACATTTTCTAGGCTCATCTGCTAGATAATGTCTGGCTAGTCGCTTGTAAGCTAGTTTATTCTCATTGTCTTGGTCCCTCATACTTTTTGAAAATGAACTTGAATTGACCCTGCATTCCCATTGCTTTCGTTGTTTATCAATCTTTTCAATGGCTTTCTCCAAATCAACATCGTCTTCACTCTCACTGCCACTGTCTAGTTTTTGTTTCTCTCTTTTTAGGGGAGGAGGCTCATATAGAGTGAGATCTTGTGGCTCCAATGAGCACTCCCAAATACAGAGGTGACCATTTCTACTGACTGTTGTGAGATCGTACGAGGACTTTTCGAAGAAACAGGCGACTATTTCCTCGGAGTGACCACCCAGGGAGCATTGCTTGAAATTTTTTAATTTAGCCAGACTGTAAAGTTTGGTGGTTGTGTCCTTGGAGCCTACAGCGATAAACTTAGAATCAAATGACCAGCAAAGAATGGTGGTATCGTCCATTGGCCCCGAAAAAATTCGCTCCATTACAAAGGGGCTGAAGTCACCGGTCTCAAGGCAAGGGGCCTTGAAAATAAAAACTCTATTTTCTTTGCACACTGCAAAATATTTTCCATCATTTGAAAATTTAATACACTTTATGGGCCTTTTAAATCTGTGCTTGTAAATGCTCATTTTGCTGATTAGGCTGATGATATGCGCCTCACCCTCTTCATTAATTGCAATGAGTACAGTGCCATTAGGGGATAAGTCAATGGCATTAAAGTTGAATCTGGATTCTACTGGGAGTGTTGTTGATTTATTATTCTTCAAATCGAATATTGTTATTCTATTTCCAACAGGACTAATAACAGATGTTCCATCGGAAGAAAATATTATATCTCCTTTCCGATACACAGTACCCAGTAGATTACTAAACTGTAAATGGAATAAATGGTTAGAAAAATAGTTGATTGAGTTCACTATTATAATAAAATAAGTATACAATCCTACCTTGTATGCAAATTTCATCCTAATTAATCTATAACTCCACGTGATTAACGTTTATATTCAATAATTCTCTATAGGTACTTAGTTAAAAAGCCATTTAATCACTTATGCTTCAGTAAATAAAGCATGGACTGGAAAGTATCATGGAGCATGAAAGCCCAAAGAGGATTGACTGAAGTAGACGCTCAGTTCTGGGGGTTTGAGTGACCCCAGCGGCATCGTAGTACTGCACCCCAAGAAAAAGACGGCGCCACACGCAATACTGAGGTGTCCATCAAGTCGACGGGGTGAATTTTATTTTCTGCGGCATGAATGCTTTTTGTTTTTTATTTGTTTAACTGAAATTTAGTCAACTGTAGAACGGGCGGAAGAGGGAAGCCACATTTGTGGAATTTCAAATGAAAACGAGTATTCGATCTATTGAAGATATACTACTAATGAAATTATATTTTCAGAATGAGCGCGTTGTCTTAATGGTAACGTGCTTGCCTACCACGCCGATGGCCCGGGTTCGATCCCGCCGTCATTCATTTTTTTTTTTTT